TGCTCCTCACAACATCTCTCCTGCCCTGACCCACCAGGATCTGAATTCAGGATTGCCTCAAGCAGAACCCCTGGATAATAAAGCTTCCATCACTTCTCTGAAGAGGAGAAAGCTCCTTTAAAGGAACAGTTTGTGGGGCTCTAATCCCTAACTCTGGGAGAGAAGCACATCCTGAGGAATGACCATGGTGAGCCTCTTCCATTGAGTGTAAGCAGCACTCACATTTTGGGTTATTTTATAGTACAGCCTCTACTACTCCCACACAGCCTCTTTTGCCAGGGCTAATTTTGGATGGAAGAAGGTGCTAAAATGCTAATTTGTAAAGGCAGGGGCTTTTTGGTCAACCCAAACCTGGTATGTTTGCTTGCTTGTCTTGGGTCAAAAACACATCACAGCCCACCAGGCCACAGCTGTTCATGGGGTTAGTCCTGAATTACAACTACCAGGTGCTTGTCCTTTTTATTTTGCAGGTATCCAATAACAACAATCACCAAAATAGACTCAAATCACCATTTAGAAACAGGAATATTTTTGCATTTCAATACTATTTCCACTAGACAGATCTGGAGGGATTTTGACACTGCCACCTCAAAACACTCCAACGCACCACAGAAATTGTCTTTGCTTCTCAGGCTTTTGTTTCTTCAGCTTTCATAAAGCACTCAAAAACAAATACAAAAGACCTTAGTAATTACTAAAAAAAAGAAGAAAAAAAAAAGACAGAAAGAGAGACTTGAGATGCAGCCTGCCTTCTGATATTTGAACAAAGAAAGATCACATTTTAAAACTCCTTGTGTCTAGAAAGACAGTGAGCCCCTTTTCAGCAAAATTAAGAAAGTGGAGCTGAGCATGTTGGGCAATAGCACAGCACCAGAAATCAGATTACAAGAGCAGCTGAATCTTTCCTCACATCTTCATTCCTTTCAACACTCAGAGAATGAGAGCTACCACCAATTAAGGAATAATGGCTGCAAGTTCAGAACTTGTTAATGTGCGTGTACATCACCCTCAAAACACGAAGCTATAAATTCTGACTCCATGACACACTAGAGTTCTTTAATACATATCCTTCTTTATCATTCCTCTCTTTAATAGTTGGAAGAAATGGAAGGGAAGATAACCTCCCACCAATTATGTGGGAACTGAAGTTTGTGTTTTGCAGCGAGGGCCGTTAGACCCAACATCCATGCTGACCTTAAAACTAGGGAGCAGGTTTATAGAAGGGGTTTTTGCTCACCCTGTGCACAGAACAAACTGCCATTAGGATAAACAGCAGATTTAAAAGCCTCTTCATGAACAGAATGAAGAACTGACACTGAAAGAAAGGAGCTGTGGCATTCAGAGCACAAGTCGGATCCTTCTGTGGTTTATCAGACCGGAGCTCTCAGGGGCTGTACACCTGGTATCTCTTTCACAGAGGAGTAGCAGGATTAAAAATTACCTGTTCTTAATAAAAACACAGCTTGGAGATGCAGTGGGATCAGCAGGACTGCCACCACCTTGTACAAGAGGCAAGATGAGGCAATGGTACTGTCCCTGCAAACATTTAATGCAGTCCAGATGGACTTCAAGAAAGCTGCGAAAAACATGAGGTTTTTTAAAGAGTTTGACTATTCTTTTGGTCAAAAGCTTGTAGGAGAAACAAAAATTAATATGAAGAGAACTGCAGTGAAGATAGCAAAAAAACCTAAATGATCTTGGATTCAGTTTCTCACAGTTCATATAATCTCAGGGTAGGCAAAATAATAAAAGATAGAGCAAAGGAATTCCATTGGATTATTTAAAGGAATAGCTGAGAACACTGCACACAATTCATAGTGGGCTCTTGCCACCTCTTACTTAAATCTGGAACTGGAAGAAGTGCACCTATGCAGACAGGTATAAAGCCCATAATCCATCAGGAGTAGGACACATAATTATACATCCATGAAATAAGGGACAAATACATCACACCCTTCAATAAAACAGACCATTCTCACCTTTCACATAATTCTTAAGTAGGTCTACATGTGAATGAATAAGAATTAGTGGGAGCAATAACACTTGACACCAACCTAGTAACTGGTCTGGAGATCTGATAGGATTAGGAAGGATATTGTATCATAAAACTGGAAATTATCAGATACACTTTGGCTGCAAACAGTTTGCAAAACTGGATTGACTGCATTGAAGTTTCCTGTCTTGGAAATAAAATAAATTTTGACTTCACACAGCTGCTCTATTTTTGTACCGTCAGAACAAGTGTTTCAGAACTGCCATTGTGAATCGCAGCTCTGTGCTCTGTTTATCTGCTATATGACAAATCAGAATTGGAACGAAAGCCAAAAAGTATGCCTTAAACGACCTGAAAAATGAAATTCTGTCATAGTAGCTTCCTTCCAAGAACAGGAATTAAAAAAGGAAAATTTCTAAAAATGCAGCTGAGCAGCAAAGCAAGCCCTGTAGTGCTGAAGCCTTTCACAAATGTTCATTCCCCGTTCTGGCACAGCAGCTTCCAACACTTGATGCACACGCTCCCGAAGCCACTGGGCACCAACACTGCTGCAACCACCACATCAAATCTGCTTTCTCTTCTCACAGCCTGCTGCTTGGTGCACCACTGCCCTGGGAGCATTCCCCCATCTCTTTGCTCCTGTGCAGAGCAGCAGCTGTGCCGTGCACCTTTCTGCTCCGCAGCCGCGCCGGCGCTCCTGGCTGCCAGCATCCTCCTTCCTGCTTGGCAAAATGTCAGGGCAGCTCCCAGGGCAGTTCCCTGGGCTGGCAGCGCTGGGACAGGCCTGGCTCGGGCAGAAAGCTGGGAAGCCCCAAGCTGGAGGGGTGCAAGAGCAGAGCAAGGTGTCCGAGCATCGCTTCGCAGCGCGGCTGCTGACGTGGAGCGAAGTCAGGCTGGGAGGAGCATTTAAATCAGGAAAAGATTTTCCTTTTCTACACCACCATGCACAGCCCACTCCCAACTCCAGCAACCGCTTGCCCAAGGAGCTTAACACAATCCAACGCTTGGCACTATCCAGACACTTGCTTTTAGTAGCAGCATGTGAAGCATTCAAGCACCAACAGTAGCAGCTCTGTGGCTTTATACTACTCGTTGCAAGGCAGAAAAAGCAGCAAGTACATTTGTGATCTTTAAGTCTTCTGGTTTCAGGCAGGGAACGAGCTAACAAATTCATCCTCATCAAAAGTACAGAATAAATTCTAACTGCACTCCACTGAGTCATTACACACCAAGATCTGGTTTGGGAAACAGAAGCATTTATAATCTTACTTACAACCTCAGTGGGTCTACTTGTGAATAAAACCTCACATGTGCTAAACCAGTGGTAGTCTTTAAAATAATTAACTTTGCAAGAAGTCAGAACTAGTTCAAAATAGTAAAAGCTTTGCAATCAGATTCAAAGCACGAGTTTTTTTATGCGGAAAAAATAAAAATCAGAGGCAAGTCTAGCTGAAACCTTCCATCACCTGTAATACAAGTGATACGAGCTGTTGAGCATAAGTGAACCCTGTGGGTGTACTGAGGGCAGCACATTTCTCCCTCTTAGACCTCCAGTCATATTATGAAAGGCCTGTCACATTTTTCCCCTCTCCATTTCTTCCCATTTCAGAATCCCCCGAGACATGTAAGGAGATAATATGCTTGATAGTCACTTTTCCTACCTGAAGTTATTTTTTTCATCTAGGACATGCTGAACTGGGTGATTAGTCCAATCAAATCTGGTGCCTCAGTTCTGGCAGAAACCAATATTGAATGTTTGAATGTTCCCTGGAGTTATGAAGCACACACCACACCACACCAACAGAACTAGTCAAATATGCATCACTCAACAAGGAGGAAACATTATTTCATGGCCTCCATGGCTACTGGGCCACACCTTGATATGTCAGACCTAGATATGTTTTCTTTAAATTTTTTAATCTCTACTTATTGATCATAAAACAATGCCAGCCTTTCTCAATGCCTGTATTGATCCCAGTGTGATACCTTTAGATTAGAGAGATGATGTGGCCAATCCTCTTACACTCAAGGGGCAAAAAAAAGAAAGAGCTCATAGACATCCAAAAATGCAATGACGGCTGAACACTCCCCATTGGCTGCGCATTTTGGCATTCATTGGCTTTTTATTACGTAGGGGAGTTAAGCAGAAGAATAAAGATTTTTTTTTTTCTTTCTGTCTACACTGGGAACCTCAGGACCTGAACTCCTGAAGCAAACGCAAAGTTCTGAAGGAAAGCCCCGAGGGCTCTCAGGAAATTAATCCCCACTCAGCTGACCAGTCATCCCACCCGCAGCCCAGCTCCGCTCCTCCTGGGATCTCATGACACACATGAAAGAGCAACGGCAAAAAAAACCCCAAAACCAAAAAAACAACTCGAAACAAACTTCAGCCACGCTGGTGGAGGCAGAGAGGGAAGATTCAAGGCAACACGGTTTGTCTGAAAGCACTATTCAGAGCACACATGTTCTTTGCCCCGTTAATGAGCAGCACATGGGTTCCCGACAGAAGGGGCTGGTTGTGCCCAGCCATCACTTTAGTTTAGCAGGAAGATGCCGAGCGATTCTCCCGGGAGCACCGGGAAGATCTACCAGAGCACCCAATCACGACGCAGAGCAGCTTAAAAAAGCAAAGAATAACCAAAAAAGCATCCTCTGTCTCTAAAACACGGTCAGTTCGGCTGGCAGAACAACTCGCTTCGCCGTGACACAGCCTACAAGGAATCCTGGGGACCAGATCCGCAGATTTCCCGGGCAGGGGCAGGACAGGGGATGCTTTTCTCCTTTCTCCCCTCCCTGCGGGTCCGCGGAAAGTCGCGCCGGGCACCGGCCCCGTCTCCCGGGAAGGGACGGGGAGAAAGGGGAAGGGAGGAGGCGCCAGCGCCGAGCACCGGGACAAAGTTGCGTTGGAGCCGGAGGGGTGAGGGACGAATCGCTGCCACCCCGGAGAAGTTCGGTCCCCTCCTCCCCATCCATCCCTCCCAGCCCGCAGCCCCCGGCCCGCTCCTACCGCCTGCGGCGGGGTCCCGATCAGCATCTCCAGGTAGTAGCCGCGGCCGGAGTCTCCCTGGAGGTTCTCCACCATGGCCAAAAAGTTGAGGGTGCCGCCGGGATCCGAGGCCAAGGCCAAGCCGTCCGCAGCCCCCGGGGCATCCTGCTGCCGGCTGCCGCTGGCCGGCCGCAGCACCACCGGGGCGGGCGGGGAGCCGGCGGGGGCGGCGGGGTGGGACACGCGGAGCGGGAGGGAGAACAGAGCCCGGCAGAGCCCCGCGGAGCCGGCCAGCAGCAGCAGCAGCAGCAATCCGGGAGCCGCCAGCGGCGTCCCCATCCCGGGGCCGGGAGGAGTCGCTTCCCAAGCGCGGCGGCTCCGGCCGGAGGCAGCCTGGCTGCCAGACTGGAGCAGCCGAGGGGGGGGGAGGAGGAGGAGGAGGAGGAGGAAGGAGAAGGGAGCGGCTTACCCACGCCCCGGAGCGGCTTACCCACGCCCCGGCTCCATCTCCCCCTCCCCCGAAGCGAGCTCCTCCTCGCGTTTCTCCCGCTCGGCCCCCGGGGCAGCCGGAGCGCTCGGAACTCCGTGAGGGGAAAGTTGCTCCGACCCAGCGGCCTCGGGAGAAACTTCCCGGCTGGGCCCTGCCCTGCTAAGGGAGAGGGCGGCAGAGCGGGGAGAAAAGTTTCCGAAAGGCCTAAAGGGAGAGCGGGGAGAGGCTCCGGTTCCCTCCCGGTACCCGGGGCTGCGGGCTCCGGCATCGCCATCCCCCGGGAGCGGGGCTGGGGTGGGCAGGAGGAGGTGGAGATGGGGATGCGAGGTCAGTCGCGGTTGCGGGAGTGTCCCCGTGTGCCGCTTCACACCGTTGGTGTTTGTGTGTGTGTGTGTGTTTGTGCGTGTGGAAATTCAGCTGCTGCACCGGCAGGAGCGAGGCACGCAAAGGCGTCTGCTTGAGAGAGCATGCGAGGCTTTAAATGTCTTCATCATGCGCGGAATTAATAACGGCAGCCAAGTGAGCCTTTTGAAAGATGGGAACACTTAGGGTGGAATTAGCCTCGACATCTCTGGAGTAATGGAAGCGCCCTGATGGATCGCTGGACGGAGCGGAGAGTCCAAAAATGAAATGTAACACTGGGCAAGTCTAAGCAGAGTCACTCTGTGGCTGTTTCTGGCTCCTCCCCCAGTCCTCAGCTGTAGATAAAGTTGAAAAATATCCGGCTGAAGTCATGTGTACTCTGGGTGTCCCCTGATCAATTTGCTGTCCTAGGCAGCCACCTGGTCTCTCCCTGTGTGTAAATCTGTGCAGAACTCTGTGCACTGAGATCCCTCCTCTGCCAGAGTAAATTGAAAGAGCTCCCCCCCTTCCCTTCCTGGAGCTGGAGTAATTGTCCACAAGATTTCCAGGTGTTTCGCAGGTATTAAATGAAGTTTTATTAAGAGGCAGACAGTGTTCATTCCTGGGAAGGCTGTTTGGGGGGAAGGATAATTGGGTAAGGCTGTTAACTGTAGGCATTTGTCAGAGTTGCTTGAAGAGGATAATCCTTAAAAAGAAAGTGGCGGCCCACCTTCTCTTGCTGAAGGAAAAGAAGTGTTTTCACTTTTTTTTTTTTTTATTGATGTTTTTGATACTCTGGCTCTGTCACCTCAAATCTGGAGCCCTTTGTAGGGTTTCCCTTGGATCAGTTCAGTGCTTCTGGTGCAGGTGGATGCTTTTCCTCCTGCATCCATGGCAGGAGGGGGATGCAGACCCTGTCCTGGCTGGTGGAGCTCTCAGAAAAGAAGGAAAATGCTGCAGGGAAGCCTACAAGGACCGTGGCCTGGCTGGGGGCTGGGGGACAGGTTATAAATGAAACTTCCTCTCAGGGGGTTGTTGTGCTTGTGGGGAACCACACACCTTGCTAAGAGGTGAAATTGTGCAAAGTTCCCCTGCTGCACAAAGCTTTCTGTTTGCCTGACAAGTAGGAAGGTGAAATATTGCAGCCCTGCTCTGTCTGGTCTCACCTGCTCCAGGCAGAGGGAAAATGCAGCTGAGCACCTGAGGGAGGGGCAGCCAGGCTCACACAAAGAGGTTATCTCCGGGGTGCTGCAGTAATGGCTTTTCCTAACGTGGCTGGGATGGTGACAGGCTGCATTGTAGGGCCTGTCTAGTCACAGCTGAAGCCAAAGGGGAATTAAAATGCTCGGGGGCTCTTCATGGGTGAGCTGAAAAGTGGAGAAATGCCCCCGCCCCTTTGGAAAAGGGAATGGGAAAAGTAATCAGGAGTATAATTGAACACCCCCTCAGAGTGGTAGGGATGTATTTAGAACAGTCAGCAGCTATGTGCATTTTGTTTTAATTCTTTTACAGTACAGTAAGTCTTCCCCCTTGCTGCTGTTGCTAAGATACATTACCACACTCCTGGCTAAAGCAATTCCAGCCCAAGGAGCGCATACTTTTCAGAGCATAGAAGATATAGCATAGCCTTTAAGTGTTGAGGAGAAAACTTCTCCTTTTTTGTTCATGCTGTTTGGTAAAAGTTCTTCTCATCCTGTTTTCCACAGCCCTGGATGAGTCTCACAGTAAATGCTCATCAGGCAGCTGCTGTGTATGGGATGCTGTGTGTGACACCTTCCTGCCCTCCAATGGCATCATCCCAGCAGGGCTGGGTGTGCAGAATGGGGTTTCTGCCTTGCCTCCCTTGCTCCTTTATTTATTTAAGTACCTGAGAAGGATTAGGCTGTGCCATGTACAGGTGAGAAGTTCCAGTGCATTTCTGAACGCTGGCAGGAATGGGCCTGAAAAGTGCAATGTGAACAGCTGCTTGGGAAAGGAGATGTAAAAAAGTCCTCCCAGAGAGCCAAATGTGACTGCATCCAAGATGTTCCTCAGAGGGGAAGTCATCTGTATGCAATGAGTGCCACAGTCAACATGCACATTTGGGTGTTTTTTATGTATCACATACAGAAAATAAATGAAATGCCAGAAATAGACTCAAGTTTAAGTGTCTGTACACTTTGTGTTCTACAGTATTTGGTGAATCTTGTTTTTCTCTAGTTTTGTGATTCCAAATATGTGTTCTTTGAGTAAATAATAATAAAAGTATTTTTAAGTATCAGTGAATAAGCCTTTTTTTTTTCCCCTTAAAGTCAGCTGTCTAAATATAACTTTTCAGGTAAATCTAGACTTTAATCCAACTCTGTATTAATCCAATTTGATGGCACCATGGCGCTTTATAAAGCCACTTGACAGTGAATTAACATTTGTGTCTATAACACAACCTTCCACCAGTATTTACAGAATACAGAGCATCACAGAAATACTCTTGACAGTGAATTAACATTTGTGTCTATAACACAGCCTTCCACCAGCATTTACAGAATACAGTATATTTTTTTCTTTTCTTTCTTACAGTAAATATTCTTTCCAGAATGTTTACTGTAAATACACCATAGAAATGCAGCTGCTCTGTGCTGTGGCCAAGGTGTGTGAACTCAGTCAGAGGGGAGAGTTGCTCTGTGGAGATGTTAAATCAGGCCTGCTGAGAAAAGCAGCAGGAACAGAGAAAGCATCTGAGGATGCAGAGGAAGTGCTGGAGCTGATCTGAGCAGAAGGAGCTGTGTGTGGCTAAAAAGAGATCTCTCCCTCCCCAGGAGGAAGCTATTAGGGGACTGCTCAGATCGAAGTGTTTCTGTGCCCAGCTTCTGAAGGAGTCAGGCTGACCTGTGCCAGTGTTACACAATGGTGAGGGCAGATGGCCACAAAGGCTTCTGTCCTAAAACTGCTGTGTCTGCTTTCTGTGTTCTTGCTCTTAGCATAATCAATACTTTGGTTTTAACAAGAGTGATTGCTCCTTACTGTAATCCCACAATGCTCCTGAAGGAAACCCAGCTGCACCTGCAAAGGGTTAATTCACTGAATTTGGTACCCCAAGGAGAGGAGGGGTTTTGTTCTTCCTGGACGTGACTGGGAAAAGGTCTTCTCTGTCTGTGGCTGTCTTGCAATCAGCTTTTTCATATTTTAGGCCTATTCCAGCGGAGCATTGCTTGTACAAGATGAGTGTAAACAATCAAGGGGCAGCAGAGGCCACGGGGTCTGGCTCTGTTTGTCCTCAAAGGCCATGAATAAAACAGCTGGCCCATGGGATGAGCAATGTTCCCCTCAGGAGAGGTGCTCCAGTGCCATTCCTGGGGCTCTGAAATGTCTCCTGCTCCAAAGGGGGGAACATGGACATTTCTGGGACTTATTAAAGGATGGAGTGTCTGCCCTGTGTGTAGAGCTCATGCAAGATGTGGCTGAAGATTCTGTGCTTGGGGATGTAGGTGCAAATCCTTATCACCATCCAGCTCTTTATTTTGGGTAGAGGATCTGTGGGTGGGGGTGCCTTCTTTGGTCACTGAGCAGTGAGTTTTCTGAATGATGGTATGCAGTTGAACATGTGAGGTGTTGTAGAGCCAAGATGTCAGAGGGATGGAGCTGCTGTCCTGTGAGGAAAGGCTGAGGGAATTGGGGTTGCTCAGCCTGGAGAAGAGAAGCTTCAGGGTGACCTAATTGTGGCCTTCCAAGAAAGATGGGGAGAGACTTTTTACAAGGGTGTGCAGTGACAGGACAAAGGGGAATGGCTTCAAAGTGACAGAGAGCAGGTTTAAATTGGATGTCAGGAAGAAATTCTTCCCTGTGAGGGTGGTAAGGCACTGGAAAAGGCTGCCTGGAGGAGCTGTGATCCCTGGCAGTGCCCAAGGCCAGGTTGGACACTGGGGCTTGGGGCACCCTGGGACAGTGGAAGGTGTCCCTGCCCATGGCAGTGGGGATGGAACTGGATGAGCTTTAAATTTCCATCCAATCCAAACCATTCCATGATTTTATCATCCCTTTTTCTCTAACAAAGTGGCGTGTTGTTGAGTTTGCAGGGGTCCCCAGGATGAGGTGAGAAATGAGTGAATCTGACACCATGTTCTCAGAAGGCCAATTATTATATTATATTATATTATATTATATCATATTATATTATATCATATATTACATTACATTACAATATATAATACTTTATATATATTATATATTACATTACATTATATTATACTGTACTAAAACTATACTAAAGAAATAGAAAGGATACAGATAGAAGGCTTAAAAAGAATGATCATTAAAAACTCGTGACTGACTCCTCAGAGTCCAACACAGCTGATGGTGATTGGTCATTAAGTAAAAACAATTCACAGGAAACCAATCAAACCTTCACCTGTTGGTAAACAATCTCCAGACCCCATTCCAAAGCAGCAAAACACAGGAGAAGCAATCAGATAATTATTGTTTTCATTCTTTTCTGAGGCTTCTCAGCTTCCCAGGAGAAGAAATCCTAGCG